CCAAGCGACGAAAACCCAACCCCGATGGCAAACACCGGGGGGGGCGGGTGTGTTATCTTGTGTCATGTACGGAATATTGTCTGTTTGTGTGCTTTCGGGATAATGCGCTGTACATTTAACCAAAAGTTGCGTCAAGTGGATACCATAGTTCTGCCTGGCAGTGAAATGTCTGTACTTGTAAATCATTTTTGTCCGTGACATGCAAATCCTTGTGGGTGAGTTCCGAACGAGGGCATACATGAGCACTGCTGCAAGGGATGTTGCGGACTAATGTACGTGTACCCGCGCCCACTTTTCAGGCATCACACGCGAGGTGGACGGCGCGCCACAGCTGGATGGCCTTGGATTTGTAAGGGCTCTGGAGGCCAAGTCTGCCCCCTCCCACGAGTCTTTCGCACAGCGAGATCTGTCGAAATGAAAACTGAGGTACATGTGCGCGAGAAGAGGGATTAGTGAGGTGGAGGGTTGGTAGTTTGCGGAAGGAGTTTCCAGGGGTTTTATGAAAGAAAATACGAGGGGGTCGATCGCAGAAGGGCGTCAATCCAATCTAGGAAGAGTAGAGGGATGTTGTGTGACCCCTTGATTGGCACGACGTGCAGCAGAGAAGGGCGGCAGAACACAAACTCGGGGAGCAATCGCCAAAGCCTGCTGAAATGCTCGCTACTCTGCGGAAGGTACTATTTTCATAGTGTATTCAACCGCCGTGACACCCGAAAAGCTGTCGCCAATTCGGCACGATCTTTGCGGGATTGCCCCAGCGGTGTGTTTGTATGATACAGATGCGGGCCGGAGATAAGAAACGCCAAGATCGGGTCGAGCCTCAATTTCTTATTCTGGGCAGAAGGACCAGCCGAAATCGGCCAATTTCTCAAAACGGATTTCTTATTGCTTTGGGCTGTTGCATCCTGCTGATTCTCTTACTATCTTTCTTCTGATGGCGAAGATAACAAAACAACACAACAAGCCTTCATGCAGCACTAAACCGACAGCTTGGTGTGGCGAACATTGGGGGTTGCGGCAGTACAAAAGTTCAGCAGCGGTGGGTAGCGCAGCCCGCGGCGGCGCTGGGGCGCGGAGGGCGGCGCGAAAATAATCATTCTCTGCCCCTCATTTCTGACATGAGCAAGGTAGGGGGGTGGGAGCATGGCAGCATCAGCAGCAGTGGGACGTTTCTTAGGGCACGCTCCCCTAGTTTCTAGCCCTTGGTTCTTATGTCTTGGAGTATCGCACGATCATGTTTCTTATTGGGACGTTTCTTATGTTGTTGAGCTAGGCAGGAAACAGAGTGAGCTCCGGTGGGGGGCGTGCGGTTTGCCTGGTCAGCATTTTTGCCGGTTGATGACGAAACTACGAAGATCCTTCGTACGAGCCCGGAACCGTTCCGACAACGTTCCGGGAACCAAATACCGTTCTGTAAGACCAAAAGCACTGTTTCGGAAACCTTCCAGCATCCTTTCTAATCTTATTCTGGACTTTTCTTGAGAAAGTTCTTGAGAACCGTTCTAGGAAAGTATGTCCGTTCTAGGAAACATTCTACGAACGTTACGGAATCTACTGCATCCGTCAGTGGATCGTTCTAGATGCCCTTCCTGAAATATTGTTTTTCAAAGGTTGACCTTACTTCCTTATAGCTGAATTTTCCGCGTGTAGTGTACCATGTCACGTGCTGAAATCGCCAATGATGTATGTGACATCGTATCCTGTGTTCTATTGAAGCGAATGCCTGAAGCAGCACTATTTTATCAGTTGATACTTGTAGTATATTTTTATCACGAGCGAAATGACGACACATTTCGTCGAATAGCTTCGTGAGAGATACATCAGTCGTGGCAACCGGTGCAAGATTGTCGAGATTCGTTTGTTCACGTTTCGAAGACTCATGAACAGGTCCACGCTGTGCGTGGCGCGGCTGTCTACTGCCCCGGTGTGTACCGTATGGTATTCCGCGAAGAGACTTGGGTTTTGAGTCCAGGAGTAGCAGGCTAATTGGACAGTTTTCGCTCCATGCTCGATCGCAACGATTGCGCATCCACAAAGACACGTTTGGAAATATTACATGGCCAGTAGTCCACGCATGCACGAGAGCACCCCTGAGTCGAACAGTAGACATCGAAGCAAACACAAGCACACGAGACTGTAGAGAACATCGCAAATTGCTGGAAAAGAGCAAGCCATACGAGGAGACGATCGACTCGCGACGAGCTATCCTAGAACCATGGCATGACAGCAGTGGAAAAGGCGCGCACCACTTGCGGTTGCTAGCGCGGGGGCTAGAAATGTCGTCGGCAGGACCGTACTACCGTGCGACATGCCGTCTCGACGAATGGCATTGCCGCTGCTCCGTAGGTGACAACAGCCATTCACTCCCGGGAGTGCTCCAGTTTCTCTGACCCACTGCTGTGCATTCCTGCTGCCCCCCGTCCAAAACTCGATACATATACCCTATCCCCACGCCTTTACCCCGCTTGGTCCCCGTACAGGTGTGTTTCTGCAGCGGCGAGGTCAACGTGCGCGTGTCGCCGGAGCTTTTGGCCCGAGCTAGAAGAGTAGCAAAAAGGAGACGATCGGTTTGATTCTAAAAGGGGGCAGTCACACTGAATGAGTTGTAGATAGTATATGAGACGCACGTGTGGCCGTCGAAATCGAGAGGTTGCGTTGATGGTGGATGAAGATCGTGACGAGTGTTGTTAAGCCCATGCACGTCCAGCTGCCCGTTCGATCCGGCTGTGATGCACTGGATGAACCTTAAACGTCTCCGACCGCGCAGCGTGATCCCAAGCGACATCGTGCTACTCGGGAAGTAGGAGTTGCGCTCCCTTTGTAGTTTGGAGAGGTGCGCCCAAGGGTGTGCGCTTGTTTCAAGAAGGCCCGTGTTTCGCGCTTGTGGTGCTCCTTGCTCTTGTTTCGTGTGCCCAAGAGCCCTTTGAAGCGACCCGCTCGGAGGTTGCACACGCCAATTCGTTCGGTGAATGCCACCCATAATTAATATGTTTTCGCGCTTGGGTCGGACACCGTGTTGGTATTTGAGCACCTGTTCATACTGCCAAGTTCGTAGATTTTGGATTGTTTGAAGCCCAAGTTCTGAACTGCAATATGAGTTCTTTTTCTGCCAGTTGTTTAGCGGTGCTGTGCGCAGTTCCCGTGGGTTGAGAGATTGCAACTACTCGTAGTGACGACGTAATTTGTGGGATAGATGGGCTGATAACATGAAACATGGAATGAAAGTCAAAAACCTCCCCTGCAACACGCGCTTTCTCCCGAGTCAACAGCAAAACAAAAATGTATCGGGGAAAAACCCTCTCCGTGCAGCTGTGGTCGTGCACAGTTTCTCAGTAGCAGGAACACATCGCAGATGGTTTGAAACGTCGAGTTGCTTTTGGGAGCCAGGAAACTGCTGCGTTTAACTGCTGCTGTTGGTGAGTGGACAGTGGTACGTACGGAAAAGCGCCCAGATGATACATAGATGGGTACATGCGTACATGCGATGAAAAGATGGCCGGGGGAGGGTGCGGGTGACAGGGAGAGGAAGAGAAAGGAAAAACAAAAAAGTTTGGGATGGTCTGCCATTCGCAGACCCTAGCCGGTGGGGCTTCGACATCGTGGTAGCTACCGGTAGCGCGAGGTTAACGGCGTGTACCGGACTGGCTAGACAGGGACTCCTCGACCATGCTTGATAAAATGCAAGTTTTTCCTCCTCTAAACGTGAATTCGGTATATGTCTCGATAGGCAATGTTAGGACGGGAGGAGAGAGGGGGAGGGCGAGTACTATCCATGCCAACTGGCAGAGGGTGCGGGGGCGTGGTTAGGGGGACATCTGACGGGCTTGATCGTCAAGAGGAGGAACGTCGGAATCGACTCCCAAAAAATGAGCCCGAAACCCGCAAAGTGCAAGTCATGGGTTCGATTCGCACCTACTGCTGTGACTACCCTTTTTTATAGTTTTCTTCAATGGATTCGATAATAACATTGCTCCACCGGTGGAGGAGCAAATAACGTTGCCGATAATAATATTCATTATAATTTTCGGCAATGCTATTTGGTCCACCGGTGGAGAAACTCCTTCGTTGCTCCACCAGGCAGATCGGCCCACAGAGCTCCCATCGACCGCAAGCCAAATGTATCGTGTAGGTACGGGCTGCAACTATCTGCAAAGCTGCTTAGAAGCTGGATCGGCCAAGTGCCTGAAGAGATTTTTTTTTTGTCTTTACTTCAAATCAGCGCTTTGCACTATGTATGGCCGTTTACTCCAACCCGTGGTCACACAGAAGAGCCCCTCTCTACCATCCCCTCCTACGGTACGTTGCCTTCGATCTTTAATGCGAGAAGAGTACATACAGCACTCGCTACCCTCTGTGTACGCCGAAATATTTAACGCTATCCACTAGCCCAGTTGCGGAAGCCAGAGAAAAACTCACTTTGCAAGAAATGCTGGCTTACGCCGGGATTCGAACCCCTGACCTGACCTATCCGGGGCTCGGCAGCATCTCAGGAAGTAGTTGTAGTCGGCTCGAACCTCCGTCCACACAGCTCCAATTGACCCCAAACATGATTTATCGTGTTGGCACGGTCCACTGTTCATACAAGCTATCGGACACTCGCATCCGATATGTTCCTGCAGAGATATACCGTATTTGTCGGAGAGTTGGCACCGGCCGGAGAGATGGCACCGGTCGGAGAGATTGCACCGGGGTGCGATAAAAAACCCGAGAAAAAAATTTACTCACCGGGGTCGGTGAGATCGCGCCGGGTGCGATCCCTTCGACCCCCAAGTCCAAGATTGAGCTCCTTTTCAGCTGCCCGAATGAGGTATATGTGCGTACCTTTTACATGTGGGAACGGTGTCAGCGGAGCGCCACTCCTTGAGGTAAGATTGGATGGTCGCGGTTCACGCAGGATGCCAGTTGTTTTAATTGTTTTATTGGTATGGAAGTTGCCAACCGTACACTCAATCAAACAACACAACGTGCAAGCCGCACCCTACCCCAACTTACACAACCCGTACTGCTGCGTACGTACTGGTATCCGTAGAACAAGGTCGAGAGCGGGAAACACAATTGATATGGTATGTGCTGGTACCACCTCAGATGGACAGGACATCGTTTATTGTTATCAAGCCATAGCCAAACTCGCATCAAACACAAGAAAGACCACCTGCATGGAAAGCTGTTACGTACCAGCCTAAGTTGCCGTTACCGGTGTGCTTCCAACCAGCAACAACGGTACCTACATGTACGTGTGGTTCTAACCGATCAATGGGATGGTCAACTAGCGTGTAATGAAGACCGTGTGTGTGGGTTACCTACACTGATATCAATACTATCGTACCGGTCGGGGAGATGGCACCGGGGTGCGTGCATATAACACCTGTGTGTATTTCATTGGGGATGACACCGGTCGGAGAGGTTGATCGATAATTCGGGTGGCTCGATTCTTTGTGGTTGGAGCTCAAAGCGGGTGGCTCATGGCGGAGCGTGGATGGGTAGAAACGTGTTGAAAACGTGTTGCATAGTATAGTATTAATCGGGGGCGTGCCAGTGCTCGTCAAACCATCACGGCATCTGGTCACGCCTTCACTCTTTGTCACTCAACGAATCTCTCTGAACCTTCACCAAATACCTCTCGCAACCAAGGAATATATGTAGAAATTTCCTATTCTTCCGCATCTCATCACTGTAACTTTCGTACGTACGTACATAACATCTCAACCGTCATACTATGCTACGAGTACCCCCAATATATCTAATAGCCCCCCTACTCGTAT